TTTCTGAAACTTTATTTGAGCAATATTAGCTGATTTGAAACAAATATTATTTACTTTAAGTTTAAAATATCGCCGGAATACATTTTTAACACAACGGTGTGAGTTTATTTAAACTTTTCAGCTGTTGATTGATTGATGATAGCTGGTTGTTTATCAAATGTTGTTCTATCAAGACTTTTCCGTAAAAAATTATTCAACAATATAACGTAAGCGCCTTTTATATATAATTTTTCAGTACTCATTAATCTTAAAAATGTAGGAAAATATCTCCGTAATTTAATGTTTTATTGAATTTTACACACTTTGGCTGTAATTTTTTTTTATAGTTATTGTTCTTATTTTCTGAAAATATCGTGTATGACACTCCGTATCTACAAAAATCGTCACGTTTAAACACATACAAAAAAATTTAAATTCTTTCAAAAATATTGGTGTTTGATGTTTTGTAATAAGCTTTTCAATTCATGATTAGTAAATAGTTATTACTTAATAATAATAATAATAATTAGTAAATAGTTATTACTTAATAATAATAATAATTAGTAAATAGTTATTACTTAATAGTAGTAATAATAATAATAATTAGTAAATAGTTATTACTTAATAATAATAATAATTAGTAAATAGTTATTACTTAATAGTAGTAATAATAATAATAATTAGTAAATAGTTATTACTTAATAATAATAATATTAACAATTAGTAAATAGTTATTACTTAATAATAATAATAATAATAATTAGTAAATAGTTATTACTTAATAATAATAATAATAATAATTAGTAAATAGTTATTACTTAATACCAATATCATCTTAAAGAGAGGAATTAATACAAAATCATAAAAAATTTAAAACTTAATAAATTATTCTAATTAAAAATTAAAAAAAACATAAAAACAATTCTTATAAAAATTCATTATTCATCAAAAAAAAATTATTTCATAGTGTCCTTACTATATTTTATTCATAAAAGAAATAAAAGCTTTTTTTAATTAAATAATGTCATAGTTTTCTTGCATTTTTTTTATTTTATGATTCACAGCAGATTTTCAATAAATTGTTTTTAATTTACAAAAGAAAATTGATGTTTTAAAATCTCCAATGTGTTCTGCTTTTAACTAATATAAATACGAAGAGGGTGACATTTTAATTTCTCGAAATTACACAAAAATTAAGTCAGCAGTGACAGATGTAAAAAAATATGTTTGCCAAAATTTTCTGAAAAAAAAATATATATATAGTTTAATTCATTTGTGAATAAATCCTGAAAATGTTATTAAGATCCAACAATTATTTGATTTTTGCAAGAATTTCCAAATCAGACACTAAACTTTCATATGACTAATGACTAAGATGTAACACCCAAACCCTCTCTGATACAAGAAAAACAAGTTTATTTTTTAACGAAAGTTTTAACCAATATTTCGAACTTGCTAGAAAGAAATAAGAAAAATTACTAAAAATTATCAAAAACTACTTTGGTCTTTCTTCTTAATAACAAACATTTTGATGATACAACTTATCAAGTTTGGGTCTTTTTTTCAACATGGTATGCTCTTTTTCAGTGAATTAGTGGAGGTAACTATCTATCTCTATATATATAATTATTTTTTAAAATATGATTCCTTCGCTACATAAGAGTTAGAGAGATGACGGGCTCATGGTAGTGAGGAACTCCACAAATTTTAAAATCTTAAAATAGATCAAATTAGAAAGATAATATATAGTGAATTCAGAAAACTAAACTTAAAACTACAGTCAATACTAAATAAAAGGGTAAACTTCCTCGATGTAACTCTAGACTTAATGAACAACATATACCTACCTTACAGAAAACCTAACACTAATCCCCTGTATATACACCCTAAGTCAAACCACAATCTACAATTAAGCATATAGCCACATCAATAGAGAAAAGAATCAGCAGGAAGTCCGTTAATAAAGAAATATTCCAACAACACAGTAATTTTTATAACACAGCCCTAAAAAATAGCGTATACAAAAACGCTAACATAAATTATAGAAACAATAGTGCTAACCAAAAAAAAAAAAAAAAAAACAGAAAAAAGAAAATCATTTGTTATACCCCTCCGTTCAACCAAATGGTTACTTTTAAGCTAGGGCATAAGTTCCTAGCTTTAATTGAAAAACATTTTCCTACTAATAGCAGACTTAGCAAGTTCTTTAATAAAAACACCTTAAAATTAAGTTACAGTTGCACTGAGAATCTAGAAAAAATCATAAAAAAACATAATAATAAAATCCTGGAAAAACACGCATGCCAAAACAGTATTAATAAAAATCCTAAACTAAAATTAGACAAAAATAATGAAAAATTATGTGATTGTAGAAACACTGAAGACTGCCCGTTGGAAAATAAATGCCGCACAAAATCTGTGGTATGCCAATGCACTATCGCATCCATTGAGAGTCCTAACATTGATAGGATATACACTGATTCAACGAAGAATGAATTTAAAATTAGATGGAGACAACACA